CTTTGCTGCCAACATTCGCGACGCAGCGCACAAAAATCTTTGTACGTCATATCAGTGTTCACGTGATCTTTGTACACGTGTTTCAAATTAGTACCATCCTGCTTAAAGAGAATCAGCAGATTCGCATTATCTCGTATAAGATGCTTAGGTATCTTTGCAGATGTCTGACAGAGATAGAAACAGTCGACGTTCGAGTGACGACTCATAGCAAAGTATTCTCTTATCGTATCTTGTTTGTCACACGCCACGTCGTGAAAAACAAAAATGAAATTTGGCAGCGCTTTTCTCGGCGGAACGACATCGATGTTATTGGAAAATGTAAAAAAGTCAATTTCGTCTATAAACGCAAACAAATTCTCCAAGTAACGATATTTCGGCTGTTGCAGTGATTTCGAGTACACGTATAGGTTCTCGAAACGCAGGCCGTGGGCTCTCCAGCTGGCTCACGAACACATTCGTCTTACCACAATTCGATGGGCCACATACGATACCGCGTATGGTAACCGGTAGCAAGTGGCCATGCTTACGTATGACATTTTCGGACGCTACTCGCATTCTATCATCGAAATTTTTCACGCGTATTGATGTCGGTTGTCGTATGAACCGCATGTCGCTTAAAAATGATTCGTTGGCACGCAGCAACTATTTATAGGGGGGCGCCGAATCGATTCCGTTCAGTCTCCAAAATGTTTCTTCTACTGTCAGATACTCATGATATTCGAGACCTAACCTCCGAAAAATTAAAATATATATCGAAGGTTGTTGTATTGCGCGAGTTTTCGAAGCACATTGACGTTTTGTGGGACAGAATTCCGGAGCATATAAGGGTTGACCCGGAAGTTCGACAATATCGTCGGTGCCTGGAACATTATAATCGTCCGTGGCAGCAAACGCACATCGACGGCACCGTTGATTAGAGACTGTGGTGAATGTCGTCGTCGTCGAAAACAGTAAAAATCGGTAACGGTCTATTAAATCGTTCTATTAACGCGTTTCCTATCAAACTGCATATCCCCGGCTATCAGTTTTACGGGCCGGGTACACGTTTGCGGACACGATTGGCCAGAGGTGATCGAGGTATCAATCCGTTGGATGTGGCGTGTCGCGAGCACGATATCGCGTATTCTCGAAGCAACGATCTCGTCGAACGTCACGTGGCAGATAACCGTACTCGCTAACAAGGCGCGAGAACATATAGTCGCGAGAGATTCCATTCTCGGTGAGAAAGCCGCCGCTACAGCCATTTGGGCAGCTATGAGAACTAAGAAAAAAATCAGAATAGGTATGAAAAAGAAGCGAAGCACGTCGAAGAAGAAAATATTACGAAATCGAATACTTCCGATAGCAAAACGCGGTGGAATCCTACCTATTCTCCCGCTGCTGGGAGCGCTTTGATCGCTAGTTGGTGGAGTGGCGTGGGTCGCAAAGGTTGTAAACGATACTAAGGCTGCACAGCGTCAGCTGCAGGAGATGCAACGTCATAATCGCAGCATGGAAGGTCGTGGAATTTATCTTGCACCATACAAACAAGGAAAAGGTATCATGAGAGGAAAAAAACGTCGAAAAATGCTAAAAATGCTTACGGGCGTCACCACCAATGTACAATTGGAACAATTGGCGAAACGTATGCGTATTCCGTTCTTCAGTGGCGTTTTCATGC